GTCACCGAAGTGTTTTTCAGTGGGGTCCTGCATTATAAATTTCAACTTCAATATACATATACATTACAAAATAACATGCAAATCTACAATAACATGCGTTAACATATATATATATATATATGTATACAAAACGTAATGGAACTAAGACTATGTTTTCTATGTAATTCTCGCCTACACAGCGTTTTTTAATAGAGTTTTAAACTTGTATAACGAGTTAGCGTTTCTAATGTCTGGTTCTAGGTTGTTAAAGTCTTTTGATGCTTGGTAGCTTGGTCTTTGTTTTCCCTTGTTTGTGTTCGTCTTTGGGAGGTGGAGGTCGTTTTTTCTTCTCGTGTAATAGCTGTGAATGTCTTCGTTCTTTGTTAATTCAAATTTAAAGTCAATTAAATCATTTAAACATTTATAAATAAATATACATCTATGGTTATGTCTTCTAGTTTTAAGTGTTGTCCATTTTAGTCGTCGTAGTGCTTCCGTTGCAGAATAGCGTGGATGTTCATCTAAGATCAGCTTTGTTCTCTAAAGTTTGAAGGGAATCCATCCGCACCGAATTGTTCTTATCACCCCAAATGGTATCGGCATAATCAAACAGTGGCAGTATTAGAGACGTATAAAGAATATAACGTGTATCCAAGTCCAAGAAATCTTTGATGCGTCGTAGAACACCAAGTCTTTGATTAATTTTGGAGATCGTTTTGTCAATATGCTCGTGCCAAGATAAATCTTCACTAAAAGTAACTCCAAGATATTTCATTGATTTCTCCTGTGATACTTTTTCGTTCTGAATCGTGATGTTTACATTGATAAACGACTGCTTTCTGTTGGTAAAGATCATGAACTTGGTTTTCTCGTAGTTTAAAGTTAGGAGATTGTTATTTGGCCAGTGTGAAAGTGATTGTAAATCAGCGTTTATTTTAGCTTCAAGCTCCGTTGTTGACTTTGCAGAGTAGTACAATAATGTATCATCAGCATAAAGAATCGACTTACAGTTATTAAGACATTGAGGCAAGTCGTTAATGAATATCAAGAAAAGTAACGGGCCCAATATGCTTCCATGCGGCACACCAACGGTGACTGGCCTTGCACTCGATGTTGAATTGTTGATAGATGTGACTACTGTACGTGATGACAAATAGGACGTGAACCAGTTAATGACAGACTTTGAAAAACCAAGATTTCTTAATTTCAAAATTAGCAGCTCGTGATCTACCGTGTCAAACGCCTTTCGCAAGTCGATAAAAACTGCACCGGTAACCAATTTATTGTCGAGATTGTGCAAGATTTCCTCAGTGAGTTGTGTCAAAGCAATGCTTGTGGATAACTTAGGGCGAAAACCAAATTGTTCTGAGGTGATTAGATCATGCTCTTGTAAGTACTCGTACACTTGTCTGTGAACTATGCGCTCCATTATTTTACTTACGATTGGTAAAATAGTTATAGGTCTGTAATTATTAGGAGATGTTGGGTCATTGGATTTGAAGAAGGGAATAATCTTGCCTTTTTTCCAAACATCTGGGAATGTTTGTGAAACGAACGAGGCATTAATTATCTTTGTTAGACCAGATGCTATGATAGAGGAGGAATCTTTTAGTAACTTTGCGCTGATTTGATCTAGACCGGTGGCTTTATTTGTTTTAAGAGATCCGAGCTCTCGAAGAATGAAGGACTCGTCTACTTCTTTGAACTCGAAACTGTACGGTAGATCAGAGGATAGCGGTGGTTTTTTAAGTTGAAATGTACTCTTAATCTTATCTGCTAGTTTTCTTCCAATAGATGTGAAATACTCGTTTAAAATTGTTGCTATGGATTTTTGGTCAGTGATGGGTTTTTCTTCAGAGATTATACATGACGGGTTTGTACCAGATTTACTGCGAATGTTAGTTCATTTAATGTTTTCCAAAGTTCAGAGGGATTATCCTTATTAGCGTTCACGGAATCTTGATAGTACTTAGATTTTGCTAGCTTAATTTGGTTGTTAATATAATTTCTGAGTTCTCGAAACTTTTGCCAATGATATTCGGAGTTCGTTTTATGTGCTTGTTTCTGGTGGTAATCACGCTCTCGCATTAATTCTGTAAGTTCCGGTGTGATCCAAGGAGATTTGCTCGTGCATTTAACTCGTCTGGTTTTAATGGGAGCGTGTTTGTCTGCAGTTTCGGAAAATTTATTGCACCAAGTATTTACTGCGTCATTGATATCAGTTATCGAATCCAAAAATGACCAATCAACGTTCTCAAGATCGCGATTAAACTTTAGTTTATTGTATTGTTTGTAGCAACGATAGTTTATGTCGCGGAAATTTCCACCTGATTTAGCAACACCTGCTTTAATTACACAAAATATCAAGGAATGATCACTGAGATCCAAAGAAAAAACTCCGCTTCCTACCACGCGATGAGCATTGTTTACGAATATAAGATCGATTGTTGATTGATTTAATTGCGTTATTCTAGTTGCCGACGTGATGAGCTGTTCGAAAGAAAACGCACGCGCAAGTGTTTGTAGTCGTGATCTGGCCGTTGATCTTCGTTGGTAATCGACATTAAAATCGCCCAATAACATTACTTCAGCATTTTCTTGAATTTCAGATAATTCGTTGTTGAGTTTATTAATGAATTTCTCAATATCAAAATCAGGTGGTCTATAAACTGAAGAAATAAATAGCGACTTTGTGCTAGGACGTATGATTTCAATCCAACAGGTTTCAATGTCACTGTTTTGCAAATCCCCTCGCGAGCGATAAGGTAGACCATTACGGACATAAAACGCCGTTCCCCCACCAGTTTTGTCAGTACGATCATGTCGAGTAATTGAATAGTTAGGAATGTCTATTTCTGCGTTGGTAGTTGAAGGTTTTAGCCAAGTTTCTGATAGAGCAATTACGTCAAACGGGTTTTTGCTGATAAATTGACGCAGACTGTCAATTTTAGGAAGCAGACTTCTCACATTTAAGTGGCATACCTTGAGTCCCCTTGTACGACATTCTTTAATTTCAAAGTTAAAAGGACCAGGATTACTTTCCACATCTCCAGATAAACATATCAGTATAGCAGCAAGAGAAGTATTTAAGAAAAGTCTTGTTCCAATTAGTAGTAAAGTAGAGTTTGCCAGAGGTTTCCGTTTAAAAGTTGACTTGCGTGAATTTCCGTTAAACTGTGGTTTATGACTTGCGAGTTCTTTAGATATGAAAGTAATTGCTCGATTGTTTTCAGTGTGTTTTCTTCCTTTGTTTTGGATTGTCACAAATTAATCTAAAATTGGTGAATGTAATACTTTTACCAAATTAAAATGAGCGCAAAAATCATAGAAATAATAGATATAGAATGCGTACTTGATCACGAATCATGTCTCCACTTTTTCTCATGCGTGCCCTTATAAATCCGCCATGTTTGAATTTGACTAGGAGTGCAAACTACAAAGTATAAACAAAGCTAAAACTACGTTTTCATCGTCAAAACGTTTATCTTGTTGTCTAATTTGTAGTTTGGGGATAGATTTTGAGTTTTTTGAAGGTACAAACTGTCAATTAAGCAAATGTGCAGTTACAAAAACGGTGAAAATCGTGCAGCCTTGTAAACAAAGTATTTTCGCCGGTTTCTCGAAATTTACTCATAAAACATTTTTGCATGCTTTGAACGTCACTACTGTCACTGTTTTGCTAATATCTTATAAGATTACAAAAGGATAGTTCTTTCTTCGTCGGGTTTCGTTTTTCTTTGATGTAAACGAAGGTTTTTTATTTTTTTGAAACAAAAATATTTAGTTGTCGATAGACTGTAAATTGTCTAAATAATCGTCGAAAACTATGGTTTCAAAAGCGTTGCCTCAAGCTAAAGCAACACAGAAAAATATGAAAAGTAATTGTGTAAGTTTAAAAAGATTACTGAACTTCATTTATATTATATTATATTATAAAAAAGTTGAAATATTTATAGAACATACCTATTGAGTTTGAGTTTGTCTTGATCTTTCGGGTTTTGTTTTGGCTTGCACAACAACGTTGAAAATTTATTTTTAAACGATGATTTCTGTATATATTCTGTTCAGAACTGTTGCATTTCGTAAAAAAGCCCACTAGAATGGGTTTTTAGACACTTTTTTCACTTTTTTTTTCCATTTTAAGTCTCGATATAAAAATTTTTGCAACGGCTTTGTATTTGAAAAAACAATTTGCACTCTCTGCAACCGCGCGAAATTCCCACTGAAATTCCCAGTGAACTCTCTCTCTCTCTCTCTCTCTCTATATATATATATATATATATATATATATATATATATATATATATATATATATATATATATATATATATATATATATATATATATATTAATTACAAAATTATATATATATATATATATATAATAATTTAACAATTATACCATGAGCTCGAGTCGTATATGAGCTGATAGCCGACGAGGTGCGTAGCACCGAGTCGGCTATCAGCCATATACGACGAGAGCGAATGGTATAATTGTTTTATAATATAGTCTAATAGCCATTAACTGAAGCAATAATTAATTATCCTCTGTTACAATGTCTTGACAATTTGTTCGGCCAAAAACCGCTTGGCCTTGAAAATTTGAAATACTTTTGTTTTACAACTCGAAGACGAAGTGAAAGAAATGGTTTTAGAACCGGTATATCTAACAGAAAAGCTCAGATATATTATACAGATGTTTAGTAGTATAGTAAGTGCTTGTTGACTGCAAATTCATTTGTCTTGCGTTGCAAACTTTTCTGAACAATTTATATTCTCAATGAACACGTTTTTTCACTGTTGTTTCGGTATTAAATCTTTAAAAAAAGTTGTATTTAAACTAATTTCTATGTAACAAATGTATTTTCCTAACCTGTCAAATTTTTTTGAGAGTTTTTCCTTGTACTATTATCTTTCTCAAAGCGAATATTTTTCTTTTTTCTACTTTCACCAACGCATCCAGACATTCGAAGAGTATCATGGGGCCAGAGTGCTCAAACAACCCGAAGGAATGTGCTTTGCATTATTGCGATTGGACTCCCATTAGCTTTACAGCGTGCTAAACAACACCAAAGTGAGGCAGCGTATTAGTACAATCTGCGGACATGCATGTTTCGGCGGTCTACGTCTCGTCAGTGCAGCTTGATACACGTCTAGATACGCGATGACATCCGGGTATATACACATGCAATTGCTCTCACCAAGCGCATGTGATATATTATATTATATATATATATATATATATATATATATATATATATATATATATATATATATATATATATATATATATATATATATATATATATATATATGTTAATCAGCGTAGGAAAGTATTTTTTAGTGAACAGGAAAAGTTGGGACTAAGTCGGATTCGAACCGGCGACCTCTGGGTTACAAGCCCAATCGCTCTACCAACTGAGCTATCAGCCCGATGGTATATACATACATACATACAGCGATATATATTATACACTTAATGTCTGCTCCCGAGGGAAATAGTTAGTTTTGTTTTTCCGAGAGTCTCAATGTTTCCCGAGACGACGTCGAGGGAAACACTGAGATTCGAGGGAAAACAAAACTAACTATTTCCCGAGGGAACAGACATTAAGTGTTTTGTTATATAGCGACGAACAAAAATCAACTTCAACAACATTCATATAGAACAATTGTTTTTCGTAGCAAAAACTCTATAGAGTAAACGAGTTTAAAATTAAAGTACCTACTTAAACGGTTTTGGCAGCATATCCTGTTTCCTGTTCTGTATTTTTCTTCCCTTTTACATTCTTTATTTTAACACAAACTTGGAAAATCCTAGTTTCTAATTATCGTAGTTGTGCCGCCATTTTGTTTATTTATGTACGTGGCCGGTCGGGCGGGCAACAATTTTTCACTTGTTGCCCGGCGGGAAACATTGCATTTATCTGAAGTCACGTGACCACAAATCAGCCAATCACGTTTGGTGTTCACGCTAGCTATATAACAAATATATATATATATAACAAATATATATATATATATATAACAAATATATATATATATATATATATATATATATATATATATATATATATATATATATATATATATATATATATATATATATATAGTCTGCGCGCAGGCTATACGTTTACAGGCTGCCTTTTGTCGGGTAATTTGTCAGCAGTAATTTGCAGTCATACGCTATAATGCGATGCGTACACGACAAATCGCAGCGTGTAAACATACCTTTGAGAGCTTTACGAAGTTAGTTCAGTTTATAATGTGTGCAGGAATGATTTTAGTTTTGGTGTTAAATACAAAGATTATCCAGTACATGTCATATAAACTACAAAAGTCTAATCCGAATCCTTTCATCAGAATATATAAGGATACGTTTATAGTATACGTTTATATCCGTTGTGACATGAAAAAGCACCTTTAATCTTTAATCTTTAATAAAATTATTTAAACACGGTAGCCTGTTCAGCAGATAATATTTACAGCGCTGGTTTTCAAAGGGCCATGTGTTTACAACAATAATATAAAAAGGACAAAAAGAATATAACTATTTACAATGAATTGATACGGATGAATTAAGTAATTGCCGTTTAAACGACAAAATTGAAAGATTGTTATAATTTTCAATAGTTTCACTTGGAAGTTCGTAGCAGGACTTAGCAGCTCTATACGAGAAACTTCGTTTGAGAAAATTTGTCTTAGGTTTGGGTAGG